CCGATTGGGCAAAGCAACATACCCGGTCGGGTATGATGTCAATTTGCAAGCTTCCAGGCAACTACCTATGTACCCGATTGAGTACCCTATATATCCGGTCTGATACATGATTGTGTCAGCTCCAAAACTCTATAAAAGCACTCATTTCCTTCCCATTTGAGATCACCTATTCACATATACTTTTAAGCTCAATTTCGTTAAGTGTTTTTTTTAATATTTTCTAGCATGTATAGTCTTCAAATGAGGAGGTAAAACCTTTCATCTTGGTTTTGCTACATTGAAGCTCATGATTTGTAAGTTGTGAGTTATTTTCTTTTATCATCTTCCTTGAATATTAATTACATTCCTATTTTATATTTCGTATTAGTATTTGAACTTTACTTAAAGGACAAATAGTTTTGTTTCATATATTAAATATTACTATAATCGATCGACCGATACGCTTGTTAATCGTTCAGTCCTTTCAACGGTAGTAAATTTGGATTATCAATGCATGCATCTCATGGTTAATAATCTAAGGGGATTGAATTATATTGATTAAACAAATAAACTGCTTGTGTTGAGGTTGTCAATCTCAGTTGATTTCATCTTAATTTTTATTGCTACTATCGGAACAATATAAGGCGCATGTTTTATATTGACTTGATAGTAAGTTTAATTAATAAACACGTCTCATTATTAATGACTACCCTCAACGAATTGGAAATATTTCACGACTGAGTATGCGAGAGGAAGATAGTTAAAGATATAAACGGGATCGATGAACATTTCTTAAAGTAAAAATAAGAAAAATCAAGTCTTCATCTATATTAATTAAATCTAAACCACATAAGTCGTTCATCTTGTGGTTAATTTAATTAAATCAAATCAATCCTAAAACCCCCTTTTAGTTACAAGTTCCATAAAAGAAAAGTACCGTCAAATTTGGTGTCATTGCTGGGGAAAGGCAATCATTTTCTTTTTATTTTATTTCAGAAAAATAAAAAACAATAATTAATAATGTATAAAAAGTTTTTACTTTTCTATTTTATGAGCTTACATGAGTATATGGTAAAACCTTCGAGATATTGGGAAATTTATTTCCACATATTCCCTCAGAGGAATCATCAAACGGTAGCTCTAGCTCTAACGAATCTGAAGAGCCCATCAACATGGCTCTAGAAACAAGAACGTTGAGGAAGCTCACAGCTCCAAATCTTAATCAACAACCATTATGTATCATCTTCCCTACTCTTGATAAAGGTGCTACATTGATCTCAAATCGGGGCTCACTCATCTACTTCCTACCATGGTGTACGAGGCGAGCATCCGAACAAACATCTTTCGGAGTTTCATATAGTTTGCACCAGTATGGAATCGAATAATGTTACTGAAGAACATATCAAGCTGAGAACCTTTCCATTCTCATCGAAGGACACAACCAAGGACTGGCTAATCTATCTTCCCTCGGGAAGTATAGAAACATGGACATGAATGAAGAAGTCCTTCCTAGAAAGGTATTATCCCGGCTCTGCCTCATCATCTTTAAAAAAACAAATAAACAATATTGAATAAAAAGATGATGAGTCATTGTATGAACATTGGGAGCGAAAAGGTTATGTGTTAATTGTCCATACAACGGATACACGGAGCAAGACCTCATCCTCTAATTCTATGATGGTTTGAGGATCAAGATAGACACATGGTGAATGCGGCATGTGGATGGGGGATCATCAACAAAACCCCTTCACAAGCTAGGAGTCTCATCCTGGAGTAAGTCGAGAACTCTAGACATTATAATGGGTGGTCCTCGATCCAAAAAGTTCTTGTGGGGGAATCTAGCACATCTACTTTGGAAAGTCAAGTTGCAACATTGACATTACTCATGAAGGAGTTTATCTTGGGATAAAAAAACTCAAGAAGTAAAAGCATGTGGCATTTGCACATGGCTCAGACATTCAACCGATTCTTGCCCAACTCTCCAAGAAGAAGAGCAAGTCAATGCCATGAGTTTCCAAGGCCACCAACAAAAGAGGTACGAACCATACTCAAACACTTAAAACCCCGGATGGAGAGACCATCCAAATCTAAGATATCGGAACTCTCAACAACAACAAAATCATCCCTTTAAACAATCCAAACAATCTTTCCCAAATCACCAAGGCCAAAACTCCAACTCTAACATGTGCACGGATTACATAGTTCGGGCTCTTGCCACCAACATGGCCACCATGCAACAAAACATTGTTCAATTTCACAATGAGACCAAGTCTAACATTCTAAACTTGAAAAATCAAGTGAGTAGTCATATTGTCGGAGCTGTGACCAAGTTGGAAGCAAAAGATTCGGGGAAACTCCCTTCTCAAACGGAACAAAATCCAAGAAACATGTGAATGTGATCATGTTGAGAAACAGAAAGGACTTGCAAGAAAGAGATGCTCAATAGAAGGAGGCTGAAGAGGAGAATGTAGAGTTCAAAGAGGAAGATCAACCGAAAGAGATGACAACATAGAGTCCACCATTGTCATCACACGGACCACAACCCCCGTTTCCCGAAGCATTGAGGGAGACAAAGGAGGCTGAAGAATGACAAAGACATGTACGAGACATTCACCAAATGCAAGGTAAATATTCCCCTTCTCAATTTAATTAAAAGTGTCCCTCGACTTGCTAAATTTTTAAAAGAATTATGCACAATTAAGAGGGCACACCCCTTAAAGGAAAAACAAAAAATTGAAGTTAGTGAACGTGTCTCGGCTATTTTTCAACAGAAACTCCCCAAGAAATGTAGCGACCCGGCCATGTTCACTATTCCTTGCAAAATAGGGAACACTACTTTTTCTAAGGCACTTGTTGAATTTAGGAGCATCAATAAATGTTATTCCTTACTCCATGTATAAATCCCTACAATTCGGTCCACTACATCAAACCAGTGTAGTGACTCAACTAGTGGATAGTTCTAGTACTTACCCGAAGGATGTAGTAGAAGATGTGCTAGTAGAAGTCGAAAATTTGGTTTCCCCTTTTGATTTCTATGTTCTTGAAATGAAATGAAATAAAATAAACAAGAAACATCCATTCTTTTGGAAAGACCTTTCTTAAAAATGGCCCAAACAAAAGTTGATGTGTCTAGCGGTTAATTAACAATAGAATTTGATGACCAAAAAGTAAAATTCAACATTTTTTATTCTACGAAAAAATAAATTAAAAATCGATCTCTTTGTTATTTGATCGTCTTTTAACCACAAATATTAAATATTTTTGTGGAAAAGGAAGCTGAGAAAACCACAATTAAATCTTAGTGGCTAATATGAGATTCATGTGTAACTATAGTGTCCGGTTTGGTTCACACGGATACTTCAAGATGTAACTCACATATAAACAGATGTAACACACGTATAAAAGATATAACTTCATATGATATCAAATGTAAACAATGAAAATAAAGAGTTTAATTGTTCAATTAATTCACGAAAATAGTGGTTATAATTTTATTAATATTAACGCCATAAAAATGTTTTATAGAAAAATCAACTTTTTTGCCAAAAAGATCAAATATATATTTTTTGTTTCAATAACATGGGTTTAAGAGAAATGTAACTTTTTGAAGCACATCCAAATGTCTTAAAAATACTAATAATATTTAAAAGGGATGAGAAATATAGTATAGAAAGAAAAAAATGTATAATACAAAAAACATTATAGAAATAAAATAGTGTACTAATGTGAAATGTAATATACTTATTTTATTTAGATTAATATTGTTTTGTTATGAATTGATAAAAATAAGAAAACAAATTGAGTTGTAATTTAGGTCGAAGATAAAGAAAAATAAGATTATAATTACATTTTCAATGTTTGATGGAGAAGAAAAAAAATGTGGGAAAGGAAAAAAATGCAAAAGAAATAAGAAATACGAAAATGATGTGTGCTGCATGGGACAAATAAAGCAGTGGGACCAAGCACACCATGTGCATAGTATGCCGATCCTACGGTATAATTTGTCCACATTTGCTAACATGCAACTAGTCATGGACCCGGGCCGGACCGGTTCCGGTTCCGGGCCGGGCCCGGCCGGGCTTTTTTTTGGGGAAGGAAGGCCCGGGACCGGCCCGGGCAGCCACCGGGTCCGGTCCGGGTCCGGGCCGGGCCGGGCCGGGCCTCCGGTTCGGTTATAATTTTTTTTTTTTTTTGCTTTGCTAACCCCCCCACTCACCCCCACACCCCCCCAAACCCCTCCTAACCATCAAGCCCAACTTGGCTAACCCCAAAAAAAGAAAAAAAAAACTTAAAAAAAAATCAATTCGGCCCGGGCCCGGGCCCGACCCGGCCGGGCCGGTTCGCCAAATTCAAGGCCCGAGCCCGGACCCGGCCACCCCACCGGGCCTAGGCCCGACCCGGACCCGGACCCGGACCCGAGAACCGGGCCGGTTCCGGGCTCGCACAGTGGCGGGCCGGGCCGGTCCCGGGCCGGGCGGCCCGAACCGGGTCCATGCCTACATGCAACTAGCATGCTAATTTACTCAATTGCACTTTTTTTTCAATGTTAGAGAATTTGATTGAATTTTTAAAGTACGTAGACGTAATCAACGTTTTTGTGATAGTACGAGAAGACAATTTTTCCTAAATTTTATTGAAGTATTATTTTTGAAAAAAAAACTTTAGAATGTTTTTACTTAAACTGAAATTCATCCCGGACCAGACCAGTTCAGACCAAACTAGACTTGAATAGTTATAAAAATACAAACAGACCAAACATTAACAGACCAGACTAGTTCAGACCAGACCAAATCAGACCAGACCAGCAAATTACAATCCAAGTAAAAACATCCTTACTGAAGATATAAAATGACGGTAAAAAACACTTTACTAAAACGTACACTTTAATATTTTCGTAAGCAGCCCAATCTTTTTTTCATTTACAAATTGGCCACGAGAACATTACCAGGAAACCCCACATTCCCAAAACGTTAAAATTGAAAAGTGCCAAGTGTTTCTGGACATCATACCATTACGAATAGATTTGTACGAGTACCATTTTATGTTACCAAATACGTCCAAACATCAAGTACCGAAGTATAATTTATCTAACCAAAATTAAAAGAACTTTTGTATAACCCAAACTCGAGTAATCAAGGACGCTTTTTGGTACATTTAAATGGAGACATGGCAACAGCCCTATACCAAGACTGCATATCACATAGGAATGTCTATCATTAAATTTGCAATTCATGTATTTAACCTATAAAATAGCCAAAATGCTTTAATTTAACAGCAAAATACATGCTGTAGTATGAGCTGCACATGATGTACGGGGTGAAATTGCTTAGGCAAGGTAAGGCATGCCGCATGCATGTACGTATACGTTTTGCAACAATTATTTGCTTCCCCATTGTGTAAGGAATTCTTGTTATTTTTACTTCACTTCTTTAATAGCCTCAATACATCTCCAACCAGATGTAATGAACCTGTGACAAGAACCTGCACATCCGAAATACTCGATTAATCATCACCACACCTCCCAGGCCATTGTTAGGAATTATTTGGTCGGTTGAACTAAACTGATCAGAACTAGAATATTAGATACAATGTTTTTACTTGTACCTTTTTCAATCTCAAATCAGAACTGACCATACATAAATATACCACACGTAGACAATAATAAAATACACATATACCAAACATTTCCCAATGGATATTCTTAGAGTTCACTATTGAATTTCCCCAAAATCCCCAAAATCCCAGTGGATATGCTACAACAGTTGTTATTACTATATTATACTACCTCCGTCCCGCTAAGTTCCCGCTTTCTTTTTTTTAGCAGTCCCAAAAAGAAGTTCCCATTTCCCTAAATGGAAAGTTATCTCCATCAAAACAGTCAAACAGTGCAAAACAGTGTCAAACAGTAAATTTTACCCCTGATAAGTTTATTTCCTTAATATGTGTGGAAGTCAAACCAGGAACTTCTTAGTGGGACGGAGGTAGTATAATACAATATGCATATCATAAAGAGGGAACCATTGAAATGTATCCAATTCATGTAGACCGCAGGTCATGAGCCCTTGAACTTCATGCGGCATACACTTTACCTTCCAGAAAGTTATAAGCAATTTACGCTTGTGGTACACATAAACCAGGGCATTAAAGAGTTTCTCATCCATTTGGCATAATACGCCATAATACTGCAAACTAGAAATAGTTTGTTTATTTACCTGAATCCTAGAATAAGGGTTTTCCTTGACACAATTCCTCAACCAATGTATTGCAGATGGTAGTGAAGGAAATACAGCACTACTGCCAATACCATTTCCATCTCCTTCACTGCAAGAGGAAGCATCCTCAAAAAGAAACTTGCATGGAGGCACATTTCCAGAGGTAGCCATATGCAGGTTATGGTCAAGAAAATGAACATCTGCACCATGAAGGTGTGAAAATGAGGCTTGACACCCAATAATAAATTTAAGATATTGAGAATGGAGGGTATTGTGGTAGACACATGAAGGCCAACAATATAACTTAGTCACATCATATCACATGAATCAAAATATAAATATTGCTACAGCTAGGTCGTCGCCCGAAAGCAACGTGTCATCCGCCACCTGGGGATGGGGGTGGTGCTCTCTTTGTATCCTTTTTAGCTTCAGGTTCATACTACGTATGTTGACCATGTTAGTCCCAAACTCTTCTGGGACTAAAGCTTTGATTTGCAGTCGTAAGAATTTCAGATCATTTCCAAGATGATGGTAACTCTCTGTCTATATATACAGGGTGTAGTTCCACTGAGAATCGTGCTTAACGTGAGAACACTCACATTTAAATTAATGTGGTGAACAATGGAGCTCATTTGTTGCACATTTTTAAATTCGCTCAACTTAAGCCAATATTAAATAACACGGTAGCATTTTGGTATATTAGGACAACCCCAAAAAGTGCAATAAACGGGTTCCGTTGTGCATCACATTGGGGTAAATGTGGTGCTCTCATTTGATCTTTATTCTATATATATTTTGGCACAGTTATCTTCAAAAAATTATTTGACTGCCTTCCCGATTGAATTTTTAGATGAAATTTGGTGGGCATAAACTAGACTTCATGAAGAACATGCTCAAACAACTTTATCAAAAAAATTCACTGAGAACTACCTCAAATACAACCATCTATCTAGTTTCTACAACTAGGACTGTAGAAAGCTTATAGGACTTGAAACAGGTTATGTGACACACACTGACAATCTGCCACAAACCACCGTCACTGGCCACCACCAACTCACACCACAACCTCTTTTAACACAAGTCAATGGATGATCGACTAAGGAATCATTGGCCGGATGACCACTATCAAGTGTATCAACCACCATCATGCTTCACTCACTACGGAATTACTCGTGTCCTGATATCCTAGTCAGTGAGCTGCGGCCTGTGGCGGTGGTCAGTTGTGGTCAGTGAGTTATTGGCCATTTGTCCCCAATCAATAAGTCACTTACCCATTAAAGACATCAGGGCCTATAACAATATTAGACTTTCTTTAAATAGGACTAAACAAGTTATAGTTTCGGGGAAAACATAGGGAGTTATGTTTTATTAATAATATAAACTCCCTTTGTCCTTTTTAGTTAGCCAGTTTTTACTTATCCAGTCAATGGTGAACTTTAACCGTAATATATTCATATACATTCGAAAGTATTTATAAGGGAAAATAACTTTAAATAATACCAACTATCTTCCATGAACAAAGAATAATACATACTTCAAAAATAACTTTTAATAATACCAACTATCTGAATGTAAACCAAAAATAAAATAGAATCACTTTTTTTTTACAACAAATCACTTTTTTTTTGCAAATATCAATTTTTTGATGATTTGATATCAGTTTTTGATGATTTAAATAACTAAAGTTTTAGTGAAAATTTGATATATACTCCGTATCACGTTTGATATATATTCAAATTGTTGGTATTATTAAAATTTATATCTAAAGTTCCTATTATTTTTGGTTCAAGGAAGATAGTTGGTATTATTTAAAGTTATTTTTCCTATTTATAATATGAAAATTGTATGAAAATATTATTTATAAAAAATACTACCTTAAAAGTACTGTAAGATTCACAAAAGGGAAAAGGTACAAATATATCCATGTTCTATTTTTTTGAACAAACATACCCCTAAAGTTTATGTGGAAGTGCATATACACCCCGAATCTTTAAAAGGTGCAAGAATACCCTTCATGCTCCTATGAAGGAGCAATTTTACCCTTATTGACTATAAAATAAATCAAATAAATTTAAAAAAACACCAAAAATAAATTATAAATTCGAAATTGAAAAAAAAAATAGTTAAAATGAGATTTATTTTTATGTTAAAATATTAACTCTTAAATTTTAAATTGCAAAATTATTATTTTTCCGTTGTAAATAACGCACTTCAAATTTATAAATGTTAATTTTAGTCTTGTTGCAAAATTTTAAACACATTATCACATTTTTTGAAATAACATTCTTTGATTTTGTTTAACCTTAATAAATAAATTCACTATTTTGTAATCCACTTATCATCATACAAAATACTACATATGTAATTTTATAGTGCAAAGAATACAAAAAGATAATGATTTTTTCACATTGCAACACATATATTAACACTTTTCCAAATGAATCGTAAATATATAGTAAAATTTTGAAATAATATATTATACTATCAATATTAAATTGTGATATAAAAATAGTAAAAGGGAGAAATGGACACAAGTATATCTTTAATTTTTTTTAAATTTCAATTTTAAATTTAAAATTAATTTTCAATTTTTTTTAAAATTTATTTTTTCTTTAATAATGGTAATTCTTTATTTTTTTTAAAATTTAAAATTTAATGGTAAAAGGGAGACATGGACACAATTTTCTTTAATGGTAATTTTGCCCCTTTATAGGAGGAACATGAAGGTTTTTTGCACCTTTTAAAAGTTCAGGGCTATATATGCACTATCACATAAACTTTAGGGTATATTTGTTCCAAAATAATAGAATAAGGGTATATTTATTCCCACACCAAACTACAAGGGTATATTTGTACCCTTTCCCTTTCACAAAAATATACTACCTCCGTCCCTCTAATATTGGGACGGAAGGGAGTGGTGTTGTTTTTAAGAAAAGTGGAATTATGTGATTGATAATGAGTTCATAAAGTAAGAATAAAGTAAGAATGAATTAGAGCCACGCAAATGTTACTAAATATGGTATGAGACAATAATAGCAGGACATCCAAAAATGGAAAAATGGGACAATTACAGGGGGAGGGAGGGAGTATTAGTTAAAATGATTTAACAAAGTTTACAATCATTGACTGGAGAAGTTAAAGATGACTAAAAGGGGACGGAGGTAGTATGTTTTAGTTATATATGTGGAGGAATTTCTTCTATTTAAATATGGTTATAGTATATCACAGCTAGATATAGCAATGTGAAGTAATGAATTTATCTTGCCACTGAGTACAGACCATCTCGAGTTTCGAGAAATATCCCGTGTTGATAAAAATAAGGGCCTGTTTGGTTAATGTTGTTACACTCCCTGGTATATTATTCTTAATTTCACATTACCCACAAAAGGTGGGAGAATGTGATACCATGGTATGTGGCATAAATGAACTAAAGACTTGCATTTGAAATCTCACATTATGATCAAGAATTTTCCATTCATGTGAACCAAACAAAAGTATATAATATTTGATTACTTAATGTGAGATTCCTGAGCATACAAAATGAACAAACACCCCTAAAGGCTAAAGATTTGTCCAGTACAGCTGCGGTAACTAATAGATAAGAATCAGCTATGGTGAACATTGGCCAAATTCTAATAGACTGCACACGTTAGTATGGGCAGGCAAGGAAGATTAGAGGGGGGCAATGGACATGGACTATTCCCACCTCCTGTAGACCTGTGACGCAACACTTAATGTTAAATACTATGATATGTCAAAACGGATCATGTAGAGACCATTATGAAAAGTGACATTTTTTGGCCTAAATTTTAGTCATGAGAGGAAAAGAAATAGATATCACAGGAAAGGTTCCGTCAGACCATCTCACATCAGTGTTATTGAATCTTGAGTTACCTTTTCCACAATGAATACTTCCCCATACTCTTTGAAGATTGAATTGCCATGACAGATCTTTTTGAGGAAGGTTTGACGGAATACTAGAGGTCCCAGAAGTGACCTTGTCATATGCGGACATACTTGGTACGAAAATAGCTTTTGAAAAGTGAGTCCCTGTAAAGAAACCATAATGGCATAATGCACTCAGCTCATGACATCTTTATAAAGTTCCAGACCGATGAAGAATCTATCATTGTAAAGCACGCTGAACACATCCTTTCTGAACATACGCTGGATATACCTTTCAGAAACTCAGAAAGTATAAGTTGGCCAAATAACAATAATGCTCAATTAACCCAGGATGTTGTTTCTAGGCACATGTTCATTTTTTCCATGCAAGTGGATAAAATTATTCATTTAAAAAAGGCAATTTAGTTTCATTAACCAATTAAATTTGTAGCCAAATGGCTAATAATTCATAAGATATTGGCCTTGCAACAGAAACAAACACTTCCTTCGAGCTACAATGCTTCCTGTCATCCTATGATCAGACATAGAATCATACATTCTATAGCCTTTTTGGACATAAAGTTATTATTATCCAGACTAGCTAACATACTTGTCCCCGGAAAAGAAAGCTTAAGCACTAGCCAAGAAGAAAAAGCTAACTATCATACTTCTGAAAAAAAAGACAATACCAAAGCAAAAGAAAGCAACTACAGAGCTTACGAGCCAGTGGGGCTTCAAATCGTTCACCCTCAAAAAGGGTCTATAGTTGTTCTCTCTCTAACACTGAGACAAACATTATCATCAGCGATTAGACAAGTAACTATTTGCTGCATTTGTTACATACCTGATGAAGCACATGTATTGACCAATCGTGAAAGAAGAATTTGTGGATCTCGTACATCCATACAATTAAACAGAAGAATCTGCAGTTAGACAAATAAAGCACATCAGGTTGTATGTGATTACATAGGAAATAATGTTGGAAGCTTGCAACACGCAATGGTATTGTCTTTTTGAAATCTGAGATTTCACCTTCTTTGATGTTTTGAAGGATTCTTGACTGTCGCCAGGTGGAATGCAACCATCAAACCCAACTCTTTTTGGAGTTTGATTTTTAAAGCAGGACGATGCAAGGGATAAGTTTTTATTTTCTAACACAGCAGTAGAAAACCATCTGGCACAGGCTTCCATACTCTCAGGACTGTGAGCTCCATCCAAGTAGAATAATAAACCTCCAGGGTAACTTTTATTTATTCCAGATGTACTTATTATAGAGTCATCATGAACAATCTGAGCTCTACCTGAAAGATGTGCTCTTGAAAGGCCAGTGACAAAAGCGTCGGGCAAAGTCTCTTCCCAGTCATCCTTGATTTGAGATGAAAAAAATAAGTAATTAGAATGAAAGGACAGAAAATACTAATGGGTTTGTGGCTTTGTGCAAATGGAGAACTAGGTAGTCCAGCCTTCTTAGACGAATAAGTGAAATGCAGAAGAAATGATTCCTTCAACACCTTCAGAAATATATTTTTGGGTGATTAAACGTTCCTAAGAATATAGTAGTGCCCAGCAAAAGTTATACTAGTATGGTTTAAGTGCAACAAAATAAGATATTCATCATAAACCCAGCACAAATACATTGTACAATTCAATCAAAATAAAGCTATGAATTTAAAGTTTATGCATGGATGACACTTTTACTTTCATAATGACTATGAATCTATGACTCTATGACTATGATTATGACACTTTGCCCTAAAAAGAAGTCATGTTATATTGGTTTCAGTATTGCAGTATTACAAGCACGCATCTTCTTAGGGGTTGATGTTGTATAAATTAAGGTGTATATCGAGTACAAGATCAGCTGATCAAAACCTCTACAAGGTGTACTGTGAGACGTCTCAAAGTGAGAAGTTACAGAAATGTTAATAGTTAAATACTTCAATGCAGTACTTCTAAAAACTGTTTTTAAGTACTACTTTCATCTTTTGAGGTATTGAGTTTTAGCCTAGCCTCACTAAAGTTTTGATCAACCCCTAAAGTTTAGCTCAATCCTCATGGGTAGGAGCAATGTGATCAGGAAGCACCAAAATCACTTTTAGGTCTCGGACTTTGTTTCACTTTCTAAAACCCAAAATGAGTCGTTCTACGTATGCTGTATCCTATCAGTTGTAATGGACACAAATCTGGAAGCCTAAGATAAATTTACTTTAGCTATCAGAGTCTTCAGAGAAAGACAACTATATGTGTATATAGCACTACTATTTAGACACTGTACTATTATAGATCTAGCTCGAAGCCTAAGTTATAAGAGAAAGTCAATTGTATGTGTATATAGCAATACATCTTACAACCAGTACTATCTTAGATCAAACTTCAGCTCGACATGTTTTTGCAAGTAAGCAAGTCAAATGGAGTTCTATCCTGGCTCATTTAATATAGCAGCTCTAGTCATTATCCACATTATGGACATACCAGCATTTGCTATGAGTTGTACATAAACTAACAAAAAATATAGCGCAAAAAATATAAATAGATTCAACCAACATTTTTAGGCTGCCACAATCCTGTAGTTTTTAACCAGCTTTTACAAATTGATATGGCGAGGGCAGCATTTGTGAACTGGTGATCACCTGACAAGCTCAGCTTTCCATCTTTTAACATCTTATGGTCAAGCGGAGCGACTACTTTCAGCGGAACCTTCATAATAGGATAACTAGTAAGAACAAATTCAATGCCTTTACACGTATACAAGGTTGTTAAACTCGAGATCCTAGCACGGATCGGACGGGGTCTAGGAGATCGTAACTCGGGGATCGTAACTCGGATCGTAAGATCCTACCATGCAATATAATATTATATATATACATATATCATACACACACACATATATACACATATATATACAATTTAATTCTATGTAAACAATGAATTAATTAATATTAATAATAATAAAAATATAATGTCAAGCACAACACTCAAGGCAATAATATAAAACACTTAACATAACAAATAATATTCTTAGTAATCTTACTAAAGTGGCTTTATTAAAGTGGACTACAGTCTACAGAAGCGGACGATTTTAATAAATGAAGACAAGTTGTTCTGTAACGAAGGTCCACAGACCCTTTGAAGTCTAAGTAAAGTGGACTACGTTTGCAACTAAGGCGGACGACAGGGAATAGGGAACGAAGGTCTCTATATTTTAATAGAGGTCGACGGCTGATGTAAAACCGATGAAGTAGGAGATTAACGTTGCAAATGGCGCTTGGCCTTCGCTCATCTAAAGTCGCTGTATTTAATTTATTTTTTTCAAACTCGCCGTTCCAGACTTCATCGCACCCTTCGTTTCCCGTTTTTTGAACTGAGAAGACGCAGCTCGTGAAGATCGGCGAGTCGTACGATTTACGACTTTACCCGACGATCCGGCGATCCCAGGACGATTTGCGATCTTTGTAGCGATCCAACTCGATTCTCCCTCTTCTGATCGTAAACTCGTACGATCCTACGAGTTGGATCGCGATCCTAACAACCTTGATATACCATAAATATGGTGCAAAGAACAAATGTCAGTTTACTTTTTAGCCAATAAACAGTTTCGCAGTTTCACAGGTGCAGCGCACATACAATGCATCATCATCGCCTTGATCCCAACTACTTTGGGTAGGTGGGCAGTGGCATGAGATTTACAGTGTTGAATAATTAACTGAAATTATTTAATAAGTTAACACTCTAAATCCAAGCAAAAAAACGTAACGGTAAAGTTTCATGTCGGATGCCTTTCTCGTTGCAAACTTGCAACTTTCTTATGAAGAAATAAAGAGATGAAATTCTAAAATCATCACCATAAGTCATTATCACTCATATCGAAAATATGAGGAGACAACGAGAAGTTGAGATAAGTAGCTATGCACTCATACATACCTCAAGACAAGATTGGTATTGCAAAATCAATGTGCAAATCGTGGTACATGAGACACCCATTAAAGAGAGCAAAATATGCAATGTAAAATGTTATACAAGTAGCTATGCATTCACCACCCTACCAGCCTCCCTATTATACCAGTGCGATGAGGCATCATATCTGACTAATGAGTGGAATTTACTAGCATATTGCTTCAAATGGAAATAGAAACATAATGCGCGTGTTGAAGAACTGAATACATTTTATTCAATTTACCATCAATTTATTTGCACTGTCATAAAGAACATCCATTGCTTCCGGAGATTGAGGTACTGTGAAAGCAGGAACTTGAGGCTTCAGGAATTCGAGCACATGAGATAATATAATTCAGCTAACCATGGAAAATGAAACTTAATTTTCTTTAGTACACGGAACACCTTAGTAAATACAAAACACATCAAGGTATCGTATTATGTATTTCTTTGAGTTCTGTTATGCGACCTGTACCTTTAGAATGCCTGCTTTCTGAGAAGCAATCATGCCTAGCGTATGTCCTGCATATTTGAACAATATTTTTAGAAATATAGCATATGCAATTGCTTAAAAATAGGTGCTAAGCCTGTTTTTATCAACTAAAACCCAAAGCATGACAGAAGAGTATTCTGCTGCAGTTAAGGAGAACACTAGATGGGTTCAAATGTTACTATGAGATGAAGCAACCTGGCTTGCTTATTGTAAAATGAACCATAGATTGCATAAAGAACGATATTGTAGAAAGATGGCTAGTAAAGGACTTGCCCAATATTTCCATATGATCCATTCCCAGAGAAGTAATGCCACAAACAACAGGGTTTTTTATCTGCAAAGTTAATTGTGAATCAGTTGAGCTAGAGACTGCTTTAACTTCTATGTTATCCAAGACATTGTTTGATGTAGAAACTCATACTATAAATAACACTATAATCAGTTCATTCGGTTAACTTGTGCATGAAGAGTGATCTATTACCACATTTGTTGAGTCAAAGGTTCCTCCAATTCCAACTTCAATGATAGCAACATCAACCTGTGAAATTATAAAGTCTATTCAGTAAGAAAACGATATTTTGTGGTATCAATACCATCTCCTACATTGTTGCGCCTTGTCAGTGAGAACTTGGGAAGATAAAATAGAACCGGAAGGATCAGGGTTTTCTGGTTTTTCTACTACCCTTCAGAAATCTTTGAGGACCACCAACTAAATAAGAATAAATACCTTCTCTGATGCAAAAATTTTGAAAGCCAATAGAGTAAAGAACTGGAATAGAAGGGGCATAGGTAAGCCTTCTATAATGTTATCCTGCAACATTAGATGGATTTGAGCAGGCCAACTGTTAGATTAAGTAACAATCTATCAGTCCCTTTGAATACTAAATGATTATATTCAAATATTGTGCCAAATCATTGGATTCAAAGGAAGTTGAGATTTATGAGTACTTTAATCACAGTGAACATTACAAGCTGTAAAAGAAAGATGGTTACCCATTTTGTAACATCATCATCATCATTTTGTAACAAGTGAATAAAATTTGTGACCATATTGACAGGATTTGAAGAAAATGGCTCAATACAAGGAACTTATAAGTTATAATAAAACATGGTTAATCCCAATCATATTGTAACAGTCAAAATGACTCCTTGAAGAGTAGAAATATTGCACTGTGACCACCATAGCCAGAACCGTTTCTGGTTATTGTAAAATTGTATCTTGCATAGAACAGATTCATGATTCTTTTACTTGGTTATATTATTCATTGTGAAACTTGGAATAGAAAAGGTAGTGAAATAAGTAATATGTAGATGTGAGGGTGGGGGGATATGAGAACGAAATAATACTTTCAGTTGGTTCCAACACTCCCAAAAATACTGCAGAAACTTTTCCTCCGATATGTCCAGCCTGTACAATGAATTAAAGAAAGGATAATGAATAGTAAGTTAGTACAACAACATCCAAGCCTTAGTCCCAAGAGAAATATTAGTTAGTAACTAAATAAATTTTAACAAATGGGATACATAACACTATCACTATTATCAGCACCTTAATCCCATCTAGTTGTCCAGTAAGGTAGGTGGCTTGAAATTCATAATGCCAATTAATATTTAAAACTGATTTACCCCATACTTTCATGCAAAACAAGCTCAATGACAATGTTTTATGCCAAAAGCCCATCCTGTTGCACACATAAACTTATTTTTTAAAACAGGAAAGATTCAGCATTTCTACCAACCAGAGAAATAAGACCAACGTGAAAAAATTGTCTATAATAACCCCATACATTTAAACTAAACTTAATGGAAATGCTTTAAATGGGATGCCCATCCATAAACTTATTTTTTTAACTAGAGAGAATTCTACATTTCAACCCCCAGAGAAAAACATTTAATATGAAAAATGGTTGTTGTGAGGTTTTGAATACGGGTATCCTTTCCCCCATCACTTGCACGGAATGACATCTCTACCACTTACTTATAAATTATCTTTCAAAAAAGAAATAATGTCACGTATCGAGCTCTCGAAAAAGTCAAATATGAAAAAATGGTTAAAGTAGTGCTTTTTTCAAGTATAAATGCTCAATGCTGGACATCTGCTCTTTTACAACATGATGAAAAGCTCATGGATAGGTGAAAGATATTCTAACAAAATACATCATATACCCATCAAGACGAAATCGCTCTCTCACATCAATTAAGTGAGGAGAAGTAAAAAGACCAGTTCTGAAGCCACACTCCCGCAAAATTGCATCACAGAATGCACATGTCGAACCCTACATAATGCATCCATAAAAATAAGACAGGAAATAAAAAAAAGGTTTAAATATCTGGCTTCTTCCCAGCCCAAGATAGCAAAACATAACTGTTAAATGCTAATGAAAATATACCTTTCCTTTGGTTCCAGCAACATGTATAATTTTAAGATCACCTATGTGCTTTTCTAAGCCCAAAATCTGAAAACAAAAAATGCAGCTTCAATCTCCGGCCAGACTATGAAATATACTCACTTGATATGTTCCTGATAAGCTTTAACTATGCATGTGGCTAAACTAACTCTTCTTTCCATACTCCTAACACGTCTTATATGTTATAGACAACAACAACATTCAAGCCTTATTCCCAAAAGATTTTGGGATCGGCTAACATGAATCAATCCATAATATCAGAGCCAAAAAGAGAATCTTATATGTTATAGATGAATAGTTATTATTCATTGGTAAAAAGCTTCATCTTATTTATTTTTCACCTATTTAAAAAAAACTCAAATAATCAGTTGTTTAATCGTGCTTTTGATGTACGTTTTAATACAAAAAATTCATTAGCTTATATGAAATTATTTATCACAAAAATTGAAAATAACTTGAGCTTTTTCTTGTTGGAAGAATGAGAAACGTACAATGGGACACGTTGAGTCACCTTTTTTTGTATAATTGTTAAGATAAGTAAATTTAGTTTATTCATATCAAACTAAAAATTTCTGTGTACCAAAATTAGGTTTTAAATAACTTCAGTCAGCCCTCATCATACTCGGCAAAGTGGACAAATATATGGACGAAGGGAGTACATTTTATACGACTACACAAGACTCATAAACTATGAACATGTATCAGCTTGCAAAACGTTCAGTGAATATAAAGCTATTCATGACTTGGTTAAATAAATTAGAATATAAAGCTTAAAAATATATGTTACAGATGCATTTTTAGGGTTTTAGTTAATTAGAAGAGGAGTCCAGTTTGATGTTATCTTTATATTTAATTTAGGGTTTTAGCCAATTAGAAGAGGAGTCCAGTTTGATGTTATCTTTATACTACGTATTTAATTGAGAGTTTAAATAGGACTTAATCATGTAAAGGCAGAATGCCTATTTATAATTCTTTTCAGGAATAATAATCATCATTGATCGATTGAAAAATTAGTCTCCAGAAGTCACGGACTTCCCTGTTCTATTCCAGCCATGGGAAAGAAGAGAGGAAACCCTAGCCGGCAGGTTTCAACCATACCTGGGCACCCTGCCACCCCAAGCCGTCCCTGGACCCGCTCTCAGTCTCAGTTTGCTAACAATATACTAACTCTTGCAAGCTACTCGTAACTACTTACGAGAAGAGGAAATAAAACATCATGTGATGAGTACAGCTAAAGACGCTAAACTGTACTCTTTTAGGACCGGAATGAACTCACCATTCCTTTTGGCATAAAAATAGAGTTAGTATGGTTAAGATGTATATAGAAATGAAAGGGAAAATTTATTAGGGGATAACCAAAAAAAGAAAAGTGATGTTTATTAAACGACGGAGGCAGTACTTTGTAGTCTTTTAACATATTACAGGGGAAAAAGGATGATATTGAAGATGAGAAATGTGTGACGGTATGTTTCCAGATAATTTAGAAACCGATAATTACATTAGGAGATTTTTAGTGAGTAATGATGTAGGTTTGTCGTCATGGCATGGTTCTATCTAGGGGTGGGCAAACGGGTACTGGAACCGCGGGTCGGGCCGGGTAATATAGGTTTGGGGCGGGTTAGGGTCGGTTTCAAATAAAGAACCGAGGACTCGGACCTAACCAGCCCGTTTCAAACAAGGTGGGTAAGGTTCGGTTCCTGTTTTGTAAATTGGTATACCCGAATCGAACCTACCCGCTAAATGGAACCGGCGGTTCTTGAAATTTTATCAATTACCCGAACCGACCGGGACCGTGCCCACCCCTAGTTCTATCTTTGCATTGGAAGAATAAACAAAAGAAAGAGAGCTTAATTCTGTAGAGGCTAAATAGCTTGGGAGAAGGGCACTTCAACATAAAATTGTGACCAGCCAAAATGGAAAATGAACTCTTTAAAATTCCAAAATAAACTTCAAAAACTAACATTAAGCCTGACATAAATGATGAATCCAAGAATATGCCCAACTAGGGATAAAATCCACAAAAACAAAAAAATATAGGCATTTAAATATCTCATATTCAGATAAGATTGAGCGTCAGTTTCTAGTGCAATTGAAAGGGACTGAAAATGCTTTTATGCCTAGAAAAGTTTTTCCAGTTTGGGTTGCATGAACCATTGCAATATGAAAGTGAAAAGGGGTACATCTTTTTCCTGAACAAAATTTATTTTACCTGGTTTGTGTAGCTAAAGCAACATTTTACAGGGAAATTTCGTGAGGAAACCCTCTAGTTTGTGGATTTTTTAAAATGACCCTCTCACATACATTTCCTGCAGTAAGAGTGAACACAGAAAATTTCTGAGCCTATTTTAATCTACTACATGGGCACATTCAGAAACATGAATACCATAGGTCATTGACAGTGTCATTCTGAGACATGGCACAAACCTAATGGTGGCTCTAAGGTGTTTTCCTATTTCATATACTCTAGGAGAACATTTTCCACATAAAACCTATTTCATTAAAAACATTTGCAACATTCTTTTTCAGCCATCAAGCCTACTGACTTTTGCATCAATAACTTCAAGTGTGTGAGCTGTGTCAGAAGCATTCGTGGGCTAGAGCGTAGAAGCAGAAAAATAGCACAGCAAGACTAAAAATTAATGCAAATTGCAAAATTGTCACAGTCAATTCATATATACTCCGAGAAGGATGTTTACCTCAATATACTTCAACATCCTGTCCCGTTTCTCAAGGTCGCTGATTGGTGATGTACCATCACGCTTTTTCTGGGTAATGAGAGATGAAAGTTTTTCCATAGCAACTTCATAGGTGGAAGTAACCCCATTTTCTTGAGAAGTTTTTTCAGCATTTTCCTTGGTCAGACCTTCCATAGTGTTTCTGTCCTCTATAAAAGTGGGAGAAAAATGAAAAAGTGCCATATAATCTGCTGTTGAGCGATATAAACAACCCAAACTCCGGATTTCGAAGCACCTAACACTTGGATTACGTTATATTCGAAGTCTATTAATAGTTTAATTCACTCAATTTCAAAAAGTCGGTATTTTTCCAGGGATTTGTCATTTTTTACCCTGCCTTATAACAAGGTATTGTCGCAAAAGAAGCCAGAAAACGGCTTCTTTACTTTACAGGTCCCGATGTTAACTAGAAAACGAAAACACGCGAAGTGCAATGAAAGCAATCAGTAGAACACATACACTATTCCAATTTCAATATTCTTTTACTTCCAGTAACTTCGAGCTTGAACCGATGGTTATATAGGCGCGCGGGGCGGGATGGGATAATAGTCGATGGAGATAAGCTCTTACAGTAAAGTGTGCCGGTGGTGATGGAGGAGGCGGCCCGAGATGGAGAAGGCTGAGAGGCCGGTCGTTTCTCAACTAGTGGATGTAATTTGGATCGGTGGTTGGATGTCTTGACGTTTCTTTTGGACCGAAATTTGATGGTCTGGTCTGGTCTGATCTGGTTTGGTCTGTTTAAGTCTGTTCTGGTCTGGTAAACGTTTGGTCTCTGTGTATTTTATAACTATCCAAGTCTGGTCTGGTCTGGTCTGTTTAAGTGTGGTCTGGTCTGATTTGTTTAAGTCTGGTCTGGTCTGATCTGGTCTGGTCTGGGACTGAAAACAGTCCAAAAGAAAACATCCTAAGTGTACAAGTGTATACTGTACAGTACTAATTAAATTTTGTGAATTTATTCCTCATTAAGTTCGATTGTCTCAACAGGATTTCAATTTTTCGGTTTGCTCGTCAAAACAGAAATAACATATTAAATCAATAAATCGTTCCCCAATTGGCTAGTAATAGAATCAGGTATAACATCAAAAATAATCTGTTGATATGAGATAATAACATCAGCTGCATGATTCGCAGACCAGCTACAAAAAAAGATGTGAAAATTACTTTTTGTCTTTAATAAGCTTTGAACGTATGAAGAGTCCTCTTCGTTCTTCAAGTCGTGTACCACTATAAGGGTTAGTTTGCAACTCCTTTTAAAAAAGCACTTCTCAGCTTTTGGTTTTAAAAAATCACTTATTCTCCCGAACACTACAACTTTTATTTTTCTCGGCTTCCGCGTCAAAAATGCTTTTACTTTTTCTATTACACAAAAAACACTTATTTTACCAAACACTACCCACTTTTACTTTTCAAAATCACTTTTTTCTCAAACACTATCAACTTTTATTTAATCACTTCTCCTCATTTCATTAAAAAAAACACTTTTTCAAAAGCAGAAGATGTTGGAAACAGACCCTAAGTGCATCCGTCTCAATTTCCACTTTCCATCCACCGACCATTCTGCTCTGTTCAAGACTCCTTTTGCCTTAACAAATTCCTCATCTTCATTTCTGACGATCCAGCCCCCAAGCTCTAATTCCCCCAGATTGGTTAATCGTCGCATCAACATTTATCTTAAGGTAATAATACGTCTTGGGTCTTTGCCATTTTGAAGCTTCATGTTGAAGCATCAACGTTTAATGATATTAGTTGCATTTAAGTACTCACGTTTAATGCTACCAGTTGCATTAAGTACTTCCGCCACCTCTTGTTTTTTTATCTTTCCATACCATATCGTTTCTCCTCTTCTAAATGCTCCAAATGATAGAGATAAATTTGCGTCTTGCCTCCTTATCTGGTTGCTCTAGTCTGGATCCCCGCTGCCCACCAAACATCTGCAGCATAACAGAACGACCGCATCATATGGTCTAAAACTCACTCCATTGAGTTTCAAACCTTTATGTGCCTAGCGGGTTTCGAACTCGAGACCTCCCACTAGGCACGGTAACCTCACAACCAGCTGGGCTGGAATGCTTGGTTCTCTCCACATAGCTTGCATCCTCCTTGAATATGAATTCCTTTCCATCGCAAATTATCAATCGTAGATAGCGTGCCATCCAAAACCTTCCAAATAAAATATTTGAACTTCGTGGGAACTCGAAGTTCCCAAATACCGCTCAGCCCTTCCAGGTACCCTCCTGTAAATTCTCCATGAGTAATTTATAGCAGCCCCTGACCGTAAACTTTCCACTTTTTCCCCCAGCCCACCAATAACCATCCTTCCTATCCTGCATACTGATAGGAATATCCAAGATACGCGCCCTGTCTTCCAGATTAAATAATCCTCTGGTTCGTTCTTGGTTCTAGTTTTTCTCGTAATATCCTGAAGAGCAGCCACATTCATATCCCTTATACCCACAAGCTTGTTCGACGTAATCCTTCCGTCCCCCTGTTCTGGTAGCCACGCATCAGCCCAGACTTGAACGTCAATACCATTCCCCACCATTCTTCTAATATTATTTTTTAAAACGGACTGTCTCAAAAATACTTCTCCAAATAAATGAATGATTGTTTCTCAACCTAGAATTAAGAAAACTAGAATTTGGAAAATACTTGACCTTGATCACACGGCTCATGAGGCTCCCCGATTCAATGATAAGCCGCCATCCTTGCTTAGCTAGCATGACTAAATTAAATTCTCTAATCCTCCGAAAACCCAAACCCCCTGCCTCCTCAGGTTTGCATATTACTTCCCACCGCCGCCGCCTCAACCCCTTTTGCTCAAACTTTGGGTCCCTCCACCAAAAATCATTCATAACTTTCTCAATCTCATCACACAAATCTTTTGGTAAAAGAAAAATATTCATGGAGTAATTTGGCATATCCTAAATAACATTGCGCAGAAGGACCGCACGCCCAGCTCTAGATAAGAATATGTTCTTCCAATTCTATATCCTGTTAAAAATTCTATCCCGCAGATAGTCCAAAATGGAGGATTTATTCTTCCCTACTAACGCCGGTAGACCCAAGTACCTGCTTCGCCCACTTTCCCGAGGTATCCAGAGCAATTGACAACATTGATCTTGAAACGGCTCATCCACGCTATGGCTGAATGTTAGAGATGATTTATTAAAATTAACCATCTGTCCTAAATTCCCCCCATAGCCCTGAAGGGTATTCTTTATATCTAGACATTCGGAATTTGTGGCTTTAAAAAAACAAGAAACTATCATCAGCAAACAAAAAGATGGGACACCCTTGGTGCCTCTCTGCAAACCGTCACTCCATGAATATTCCCTCTTGTTTCGGCCTGTCTCAACATCGCACTCAGTCCCTCTGACGCTAAAATAAATAAATAGGGAGACAAAGTATCCCCCTGACGGACCCCTCCTCGGTAAAATGGGACCCATAAAATCCTTATCAAACTGAATATAATAGCTGACTGCGGAAACACACATCATAATTAAATCCACCCATCTGGAATTAAACCTCATCCTCAACATAATCTCCTTTGTCTCCTGCTGGAATATATTCTCAAAATAACTCTGCACCGACTCCTTCAGTTTGTCCCTATTCGTGACTCAAGACCCGTCCGCTATGCGCAAACTCATAATTTTATTTTTCCTTCTTCGTTGCTTAATTGCGTTATGGAAGAACTTAGAGTTAATATCACCCTCTTTCAGCCATAATTTCTTAGCTCACTGTTTTCAATAGAGATTTTCCTTCTCCAACAAGGATTGTATCACAACTTTGACACGCATAAATTCTGCCATACTGGTCGAATCATCCCTTCCTCTTAGCCATGCCAGCCTCTTTTTACACCCCTGGATTTGGTATAGAAAACCCTTGGTCCTTCGGCTATCCAACCGAAGAAGTTCTTCTCCACAAAAAAATAATTCTTTCACTATCAGTCAGATGAGTACCTTGCCATCCAGCTGCTAGCCACCAGTGTACGACATTCTTCTTCTTTAAGCCACATGTTTTTGAAGTGGAATCTGCTCGGTTTTCTCCCACGCATTGTTGGGTAAATTTTAACCCACAAAACCATATGATCACTTGCCAGGGCCTCAACTGATTGTGCTTGAGCTGCCATAAATTTGTTCCGCCAGTCATCATTAGCCAAAATACGGTCGAGTTTTTCTTCTACCCAGTTAACCGGGCTCTTTCCTCTTTCCCAGGTCCATTGGTAGCCTTCAAATGGAAATTCCCTCAGAACACTGCCAAAAACTACATCTCGAAACCCTCTAAGTTGCCAACCTAGATGGGGGACCCTACCCTTCTCCGACTCATATAGGATATCATTGAAATCACCAATAACCACCACGGAAGAGAACTATTTTCCTCCAAACCACGTAACATCTCCCAAGCTTCTCTTCTTCTCCTCGTTTCAAGGTATGCATCATAACACGTAAGTCTCCATTCCGGATCCCCGTTCGTCAAGCCCACAGTGCAATCAATATAATTTGATGCATGGAATTGACGGTTAGCACCACATCGTCGTTCCATCCCACCGACAAACCCTGCCAACTCCTTCACTATCAATCCCAGTGCTCCGGTGAAAATCTTGTTGCCGTAACACCTCCTCCGCACGTTGGCAACGAACTTTTGTCTCCATTGGGAACATTATGGATGTCCTATTGATAAGTCCATATTTTGACACGCATTTGATGCATGTTGAGATCGTATTTTGATGGTTTTCCTAGGTAAAGTGTGTCACAAGTCTCAATTTTAGCTCAAGTCATAGTTTACCGGGCGTTGGTTTGAGTTTAGTACTTTAATTTGGAGTCAAAATCAGGGAATTTGAGCCCGGCACTGACGATTGGGAAGCAATCGAACGAGTCAAGATGCATTCAAGAGAAAATCGAGATCTTTGGAGGTCACCGAGAGGTTCACGATGAAGATTTGATGATAAAAGAGCTCTAGGATTGACTACGGGATCAAAAGAAGACGAATAGAGCTTGAAGACGAATAGGATCAGGGTGATGTTCTGTCAATCGCTCAAGCATATCTTTTTGTATAAACATACAAAATGCGACCTTCCACCCTTTTATTTATAACTTTTGATTGGATGATTCAAATCCAGTTTTGAAAGTTGTGGTGAACCTCGCGGGACTTCAATATCTACTGCAGCACCCCGACCCCGCAGGACCCGAGGTAGTTACTACAGACCTCTAGTACTGTCCTCACAAACCGCCACTAGCCTTTTCCGCGCACTTTGTCCTCACTCGTTCGCGCCCTGAGAAACTTCCCAGGGGGTCACCCATCCCAAGACTACTCCCGTGCAAGCACACTTAACTTTGGCGTTCTTGGTGATGAACTTTATTAAAAGGAGATGCATCTTGTTGGTATGAGTATTACTATCAATCCATTTAAATTAAATCTCAAGTGTTACAATCACCCCCACTTAGGATCGCAACGTCCTCGTTGCGCCCATAAGCCAATTCAATCTCAATCATATCCCAGAATCTTTCCTCTGTTAAAGTGCCCGCCCGGTATCCAACGGATCAGCACACTGTCGCAGGGTTGCTCTGATACCACCTGTAACACCCCGACCCCGCAGGACCCAAGGTAGTTACTCCAAACCTCTAGTATTGTCCTCACAAATCGCCACAGCCTTTTCCGCGCACTTTGTCCTCAC